GCCAACATCTTTGCTTAAGAACCAACATGTGGAATCTAGGGATGCACGAAACTTGCTAAGCCTTGTTTTCACCCCATCCATTTTGTCCCAGGTGGCCAAACTACACGTATTTTCTCCCTCAAAATCCTCTTAATCATTTAAAGACTGTGTCCATCAAGTGAGAGCCACAATTCTGCTCTCCAGCCCTGCCTGCTCTGGAGGAGGAACCACGAGCAGCGCAGCAGGTTGTGGGCTCAGAAGCCCCAGCAGAACGAAAACACAGCGTGTAATTAAGACATAGGAAAGCTGTCTGGGAGGATTCCTTCCTGCCCCGTCCCAGCCACAGCCCCCAGGTGATGCTGAACGGGGCACACAGACACGTGCCAGCATCGGGAGGCCGATGCCAGGAGCCGACAGCGCAGCACCGCCAGCAACCCCATGGTCTGGAGAGGGGGAAAGAAAAGTGCTGAACTATGCTGAAAGCCAGCATAGGAAACTGTGCATTAGTGAGCCTTAACCTTTGCTTGGGTGCTACCCCACGGCGCTGGCTTCGGGCAGCTCGCTGGTGGTTTCCCCACCTGAACACAGGCAGAGGCACCGATGCACATGGGGCATCCTGGTTGAGTGGGGAGAAAATATCACAAGAATTAACGACCTCTTGTAAGAAGAAGATGCTTCTCATGAGCCTCCTGGCATTGTCCAGCTCCTGAATCCCGCATTGCTTCCCACTCCCATCCCCAGTCCAACACAATTCCACATCACTGGAAGTCGAGCGCCCATTGCGGAGCTCTGTGTGGCACTGGCTGTTCTGAGAAGCAAAAACCTCTGCAGCACCGTTTTGTCTTTGCTGTCGTAAGGGAGCTCTGCACACGTGTGTCAGTCCAACAGGGGAACGCACACACTGCATGCTTTCTGTCCAACCCTCCTCTGCTGAGCACAGCTCGGGCAGCACCTCCCACCAGCAGGGAAACGTCCATGGCCACATGTGAGCACGGGTCCAATCCCTCCCCTCACGCAGGGCTGAGCCACGGGAAGCACAGCCAAGAGAAGCAGCCGTTAAAGGCACCTTCAGCCTGGGGGAAGAGAGCACAGCTCCCGTGTGCTCAATAGGCACCAAAAGGAGGCTCTGATGCCCCAAGATCGGGATCTGGACACACACAGCAGCACTCTGTTCCTGGCACCGCGGCCGCAGCTCAGCAGGTCCGGCTGAGGCAGCCCTGCATCACCTGAAGGACTTTTAGGCTTCATTTTCTACGTGCTCCCAGCCAGCTGAGGGACGCCAGACGTTGGCTGCCTTTGGTTTTACCAAGCACTCTCCTCCATCCTCCCCCCAAGCAATGCAGATGGAACCGCAGCCCCAACCGAGCCTCGTAACCATCGCACAGCACATGAGCACCACCTGAGTTTACACCAACAATTCTGAACAGCTCCCTGTATGCCTACCAGCCTGTAATTACTACAAAAAGTCACAGCGCAGCTATATTAAGTTCCTGTATTAGCATACTGACACTGCAGCATTGCCAGCTCCATTGCATCACCACCCGTCGGTGTAACCCCACGTAGCACAGCTCCACACCCCCACCTCCGAGCAGAGGGAACAGCTGTGGCTGCCTCCATCCTGCAGCGTGGACACACAGTGCTTCTTCCCAGCAGGATCCAGCCTGTTGTCCCTCCTCCAGGCACGGGATCCAGCCCTTCTCACACCGACACAAACTCGATCACAGCTAACCGGCGATAGATTTGGGCTTTTTCCAAACAGAAGTTAGAAGAGCATCACCTGCAGCAGGGCAAAGCGCTGCAACCCAACTGCTGCACACACAGCACACATCAGTCACATCAGTGCAGGGGGAGAAAGCAGCAGAGCAGTTCCCTACGAGCAGCGCCGTCTGGGAGGCAGCGCTCTGTGGGGTCACAGCCCTTCAGCACGGGGCTCTGTGTCACCACTGGGGGCTCACGAGGTGCCGCTGCCATGTCACCCTCAGGTCCCTGCCCGGGTTCTGTGGCTCCTTCCCAAGGGCCAGACCCCACACAGCACGCCATGCACCCCCCTTATTCCTTACTTTCACCATCTCTGCCCCCTGCTCCTCTCCCACCTCACGGTCTCTGCTAACCACGCACCCGCCCTGCTCCCATTTCCCTCCGCTGCTCTCCTGGGGCTTGAGAGCTGCTCAGCAGTTTGGGAAGCGCTCCCAGCTCCTGCCTGCTCCAGGTCTGCCAGCAGTCGCCGATTCCCGAAGGGCCCTCTCCAGTTTTCACTTCCTGTGTAACACTCCCTGCGAGCAGCTCTGCTGTCGCTGCAGCCGGAGGAGGGAGCGAGGAAGTCGGGCACCCACGGGAGGAGCCGGGGCTGAGGCTGTGCCCGCGGGTCGTTCCTTGGGGACCCACCCAGGGAGCACCGCGGGGGAACGGAGCGCTGCAGCCCGGCCAGCCTTCGGCAACGCGGGGCGGGCAGAAAAGGGACAAGCGAAAGCAAAACCCAACGCTCACACATCCGAAATAAAGCCGCAAGCAGATGCCGCGGGGCAGCAGGAGCGCGCATCCCAACTTCGGGGCCGTGAGACCGGGAACGCCGCGCGACGCTGCGCAGCTCCAGGCTGTGCCCACTGGAGCAGGGCCGGGGCTCTCCCGCTCGCAGTCACGCAGCGCAGCTCGCACCGGGCTGCGCCACCGCCCCGGGCCGCCCCGCCGTTCCCGCAGCGCCCGGCGCCGGAGCGGCTCCCGGCCGATCCCCCGCGGAGCCCCGACGTTCCCGGCAGGCGGCAGCGGAACGCCCCTCCGGGCGGCGCGGCCCCGGCGCACCTTGAGCGGGGGGAGGACGGGGACTCTTATTGTGACACGGCCCTCCTGGCCGCCCGCCGGCCCCGGTGCCACGGCGGGGGCTGCCCGGGGCGGCCGCTCGCACCACCCCCACCCCGGCGAGGGCCCCGCGCGGGGCCGGGGCGCCGCCGGCCCCGAAGAGGAGGAAGCGGGCACGGCGAAAAGCCCGCACCAACTTTGCGAAGCCGCCGCGCCGCCGGCCGCCCTCCGAGCGCCGAACAAAGCCGAACCCCGGGGCGGCGGAGCCCCGCGCTCGGGCCGAGAACCGCGGGACCCCGCGCCGCCCCCGGCCCGGCCCGCCCCCGCCGCTCCTCCCGCAGACAATGCGCCCGACGAGAACTTTTCGCTCGGGCACTTACAGCCGCGCCGCGTCCCGCCGCTCCCCGCCGCCGCTCCCCCGCTCCGCTCCGCGCCGCCCTTTCCTCCTCTTCCCCCGCGTCGCCGCGGGCTCTCCCCGGTGCGGGCTGTCGGCCGCGGCTCCCCCGTGCCAAATAATGCGCTTCTCACACATGGAGTCGCGGCGTCACTCGGCGGAGCATGCGCGCGGCGGGGCCCGGAGCGCGGCGGGGCCGGGAGGAGCGGCGGCAGCGCGGCCCCGCGCCGCTTCCGGGCAATGGTGGAGCAGGTCTGTGACCCGGGGCGCCATTGGCCGGAGGGGTCGCGGCACATGGCAGGCGGGCGGCGATTGGCTGCGGCGCGGGCTGGGGGCGCCGCGTTGCGGCCGCCCGGGGCCACGTGGAGCGGCGGGGGCTGCTGGCGGCGGCCCCGCGGCATTGTTCGGAGCCGCCGGGGGGTCCCGGACCGCGGGGAAGGGCTGCGAGCGGCGCTCGGCGGCACCGCGCGGGGACGGGAGGCGGCGGGGTTCGGAGCTGCCGCGTGCTCGCAGTCGAGAACCTCGGGGCGGCTCCCGCCGCTCCGCTGGGGCACCGGAGCGGGAGGACGGCGCGGGGCGAGCCGGGGCTCGGGGCTGCGGCTCGGAGAGCGGCGCCCGTCCGTCCGCCTCGTGATAGGAGACTCTCAGTCCTCCTGCGGTCTTTCCGCGGTCGGGCTCACGGAGCTCCGGCACCGCTGGCCGGATGTCGGGGCTGCGTTCAGCTCGCGCTTCGGCCCGGCCCGGTCTGCGCCTCCCAACGCGAACGTATCGCGTTCCCCGGCTCCAGCAGCTCGGGCTAAGTTCAGCAGCGCTGTGGGCGCTCCCTCCTCTCCACAAGGACGAGGCTTCGGGCTCCGGTGCATATTTCTGGCACCTTTCCTTAAATCTAGCTGAAGGGTGCGGGTAGGGAGGGCTGGGAAGGAGGGTGGGTGCTGGGTGGGGGTCACTCCAAAAACCCCTGTGCCCATGCTTGTGCTCCCTGTCAGCACCTTTCCAGGCCTGATGCTTATGGAAAGCAACTAAGGGGCAGAACAAGCAGAATTTGGATGACTTAATTCTGAGGCCGAAGAACAGCCTGGAAGTCCCAACAAGAGATGGGGTCCCTGCCCTACCTCTCATTAACACCCCGTATTCAAGCACAGCAGAGCTCAGACCCGCAGTGCTGCCTCATCTCAGGGTCGGCACCGGTCCCCAATGCACCCAGTGCCTTTTTCCCATACAAACAACTGCCCTCCCTCTGGGACGGTGCAGGTGCAGCACCAGGAAGGCCTCTTCATTAAGGAGTCACCAGCCAGGTGCAGCAACGTGCTAATTACTTAACGAAGGCGCGAGCTGGTGTTGTTGCAATGAGAATCCAGTGGGTCTATCAGCAGAGAAACCCCAAGGCCACCTCTAAAAGTAACCACAGCACAGCTTTATGGCTGGAGTAATGCATCCGAGGCTGCAGGTTCTAGGAAATCTCAAGCAATTACCTCAACAAGGTAATTAGTGAATCTATCAGGCTCTGAAAGAGTCAGCCTGGATGTGCCGCAAACACATCCTTCACGCTCAGAAAAAAACAACAAAGTTGACCTTCTGTGGGTCCAACCGACATCTGAACAGCACACAAACAGCACTGAGCTCCACGTGAGATGGAGCAGCCCAGCCTGGCACTGCACTGCAATTCGGCCACAGCCCTCCCTGCTGGGAGCAGCCCCAGTGCTGCTCAGCTCAGTGCCAGCACTGCTCCAGGCTGGGGATTCCCCCTTTTGGGGCTCATTTCACTCCCACTGGGTGCTATGGGTGCTGTGCATCACCACGCAGCACTTCTATTAAAATAGGCGCTGTTGGATTATGAACATTATTGGATTTTAATCTGAATCAAATACTCCATTCAAATGAAAATCCAATGGTTCGGAGTTAGAGAAGCCATTTATGTAAGCCAACAGCGGCGCTTCCACAAATCTTTGCAGCACCAAGGAGCTGATTTTGCTACGAGGGCAGAATTTGATACCGGGATGCATCCAAAAGGAAGGCATCAATTCCAGGCAAAACTCACAGGAATGGAAGAGGAGATGAAACTTTTCCTGTGTTTATGGGGCCGTTCCCTCACTGCCCGTATCGGGGTGCTGCTGAAGCACTGTGTCGGCTGCTGCACGGCTGATGCACCGCAGGCCTCCATCACCGTTACACACCTGCGTGTAGATTTGAGTTGACGCAACCAGGACGCGGGGCTGATGGAGAACAAGAAGTAAAACTCACAGCAGATTGGGAAGAGTCGCCCATCTCCTTACAGGCAGCCATGCGGGGCGCATGGCAACATGGGAGCGTGGAGTGCAGAACAGGCTGAGCGGGTTCTGGGGCTCAGCCCTGCCAGCACAGCGCAGCCGTCTGATGGCCGCAGGATCCCACAGCCTGCACTGAGCTCTGCTCCGTGTCCCGTCGCAGCAGGAGCTCGCAGAGCTGTTTCTGGTGAGGAGTTTGTAAGCGACCCGCCGCGTCCTTAAAGAGTTAAAGGAAAAAAGAAGGATCAAGCTGTAAGCGGTGCTAGAAATCGCAGGAACACAATTTTAAGATGGCTTATGCTAAGAATGAAAGGAATCCCATAGACTCTGGACCAAGAAAACTCCTTTGACTTCTTTTCTGCTGCAACTCTGTTCCTGCACAGCTGCTCGGGGCAGCGGCTCAGGGATACGGCGAGGTGGCCCACAGGTGTGTGACGGCGATGGAGGGCTGCAGCACCCAACACACACAGCTCTGATACGGGCAGTGAGGGGAACGGATCCATAAAGACAGGAAAATTCATCTTTCCTGCAACTGAGTGAAAAAGTAAAGATCAGGGAGTCGTTCAGGGAACGGGAAAGCAGCGGATATGCAAAGAGTGCGGGGCTGGGGATGGAGCGATGGCACGAGCCGAGCCGTCCCTAACCAGCACCTCCTGGGTGGGAGGGGATCAACGAGCAGCTCTGCTCCAATTCCACGAGCTTCACGGACTATCGATTTTGCTCAGAAATGGGAAGAGAACAAAGTCTGCCCGGCCCGGCTCTCGTTTAAAGGCTGGGCTGAGCACACGGGGCTGCCAGGCAGCGCAGCCCAGACACGGTGCTGGTCGGCACGCAGTGACTCAGCCCTGCAGGGCCATCGCGGAGGGCCGGCTGTAAACAGGCACCTCTCGCGTGTTTACTGACCGCCGTCACGTGGCTCATCAGAACTTGACCCCGATTAACAGATGAATTAACGAGTTGCAGAAAACTCGGCAGTGTTCCCGCACCTCTTGGCTTCCCACGGGCTCCACTGCTGTGTGAAGCAGGACCCCACATCGCAGCTAAAGCGAGAAGGACTCCCAGCTGCTCTTCCTGCTGATGCTACCAAGCCCTCCGTGCTCACAGGAACGTTTCATCCCCAGGCCGCCCCACGGGGAGCACAGTTTGGTCTTTACCAGCCTCCAAATTAGATTAAACAGGGGGAAATCTAAGTGTGGCCTCAATAACGAATGGCTTTCACCGGTTCTGGAAGAGACCCAGTCTCTCCGAGCGCTGTTTGCAGCTCTCCTATTTCCTAGGAAAACAGCTTTCGCCTTTCGTCCTCGAGGGGACCGTGCTGGTGGCCGAAATGGTTAACTGCTGCAGGAGATAAGGAGCAGAGCGACAGCTGCACAGGGCTGCAGATGCCACGATTACAACTTGGCCTCTCCTGGGGCTGTGCCTGCACAGGGCTGCGTTGCTGACTGCAGGAACTGCACCAAAGATGCTCCCGATTCGATCCTGGCAGCCACATTGAGCTGCTTGGCTGAGCTCTCCATCTGCGAGGCTTCAACGTGAAACTGGAATAGTTGAGAAGTATTTTTAAGCGGGATTTGTGTTTATCCAGCAAAGCATCCTGGAAATGGTGGGATGTGGCGATTCCGGGGGGTGAATGTGATTAATCCATCCCACTAATTGGGTTGGAACACGCTGCCCAGCCAGGGCTGAGCCATCGGCACGCTGAGCACTCGCACTCTTTGCTGGCAGGGCCTGGGCTGTTTGTATAGGTGAGGTTCCAGCACAGCCCCTCCACACAACTCCATCACGCTGATGGAAAGCCAGAGGTGTCAGAAGGCACAGGAAGGTTCTGCTGCTCAAAATGAGGCTGAGTGGACACTCAGTGCAGCACGCCGCATGCTGCAGGCCTCTGCGTCTTCAGGAGGATTATCTGAGCCTTACGCCATGTTTACTGTAAGCGTTTATCAACGTTGTTCCTTCTGGTAATGTTTATTATCAGCACGCAGAGAACACCAGCCCGGTCCCCCGGCTCCAGGAGGGCACTCTCTTCCCCCACAGAGCTGTACCAGCTCAGACCCGTAACCTGCTTTCCTGCTGAAAAGCAAGGCGCATCAATTAGATTCATTCTAAATTTAGGATTGATGAGTTCGGTCATTACTGGTCTGATTTATCCAGGCAGATTTCAAGGGAAAGGTATTCATAAAGCAGCCGCCGCTTGCTGAGAACGCACCAAGCCCTCAGCTAGAAGCACACGAGAATCAGTTAGGGAAGAAGAGAACACTGGATCATGTCGACAGATGTTGGTAAACCATCTTCCAGGCTGAAATTTATCCTGGACAGCAAAGCCAAGCGCTCCTACAGAGCAAAGACAGCGGGGCCACCAGCAAAGCCCATCAGCTGCACATCAGCCCGCTGCACCAAGAGATGCACTCAGTGCCCACAGCACCCCGAGCTCCACCGAATAACCTCACGTTTGGTCAATAAGTGCAAAGAAGGACAGCCCAATTCTTATCATCGGGCTCCCAAGAGATTTGACATCCTTGGCATTGTGTCCTAAGAGGAAGGAAATTTCTCACTTCCCCAGCTATTTCAGTTATATAAATCAATTGTTGAAGGGTAGCTGAACCGGTCTGCACATAGGAAGCCAGGCCGCTGCCCGGGGCTGTTACACATGGGCAACACCAAGATGTGGCCCCTGGCTCCCTCGGCACCATCACCAACACCGGCCCCCCTCCACCATCGGTCGCCTCCTATGAGCCACCTCAGGTCGCTCTGTGAGCATCAAGCTACCGTTTGCAACGCCAGGCAACCCAAAGGCAAACACTGCAGGTATGCTGGTGCCTCACCTGGTCACTAACGCCTTAATTACCTGCAGCAAGGACTGATGAGGCAACAGAATCGAAGTGTGAACGTTGTACAATGGAGCTGCAGTAAGGACAGGGCAACTCGCACACGGCAATGGTGCATCCATGGGTCCAGCCATGCTGCAGCCGTTCCTGTCTCCCCCAAAGCTGAATTTGAACTCTCCTGACCAAAAAAGACCCAAAGTTTGTTCTCCTGTGATTGAGATGGATTTGGTTGGTGTGATTTGGTTCCGTAAAACAGAGCACCTGTTACCCTGTGACTCTCTATGGCAGTCGGCCCTGCAGTGTGCACGCAGCACCCGCTGCCTCTGGCGTTCAAACCAGGGCAAAAAGCAGCATTAGTAAGGCTTCCAAAACCATCCACGCTGCAGAAAAGGGAACCGATCAGCACAGGGGCACTCTTTAGTGTCCCCTCGTTACTCCTTGGCTGCAGCTCTCATTGGTATTTTCGGCTGCAGGCCAAAATTGTGAAAGCAGATACTACATCAGCCCAGCAAGATGATGGAACCCCAACGCCCTGCATGGAGGGAGGGCACGAGCGGCAGGCTGGGGGGAAGCGCTTCCCAAAGAGGTGCTCTTCCAAGCAGGAGCACTGGGGGTATTTCACACCACGGTAGATACTGCAGAACCCTGCATGCCAAGAGGCACGAGCAGCCCGCAGGATCTGAGAGCTGGGCAGCTCTAATTTGCTGCTCCATGCTGGCCTGAGCAGTAGGAAAGCTTCAAGTCCTTCTTCCACAGCACCAGGATACCACTAGGAAACACCCTCCTCCATAAACAGAGTAAATCTCCACTATTGCTTTTACTCCTCCTCCCCACTTTGGGAAATGGCAGCAATGCACTGCCGGGTTCTGCGGATTCCCCAGCTTCACACCGAAGGTATCAGAGCCAAAAGCATCAAACTCTCTTTGGCCCAAACAGCTGAACTCCATCGAGATGAGAGCCATCCACTCACAGCTAAACCCAGCCAGGGCTTTTTCTCCTTCTTGCTGCACTAAGGAGGTTGACACCGCAGTTCTGCCTCTCACGCACTTGAAGCACTCAGTCTGTCACGATGGGAACTGGGCAATTAACTTGGGATGAAAGCTACTTCACATTCTTTGAGGAGCTCTCAAAAGTTAGAACGCTTGTTTCAAAGAAGGAAAAATAAAGCACACAAGCTGCTTTTTGTCTTTTCCTGGTCCCCAACTCGCTGCTTGCAGACAATCTGCCTCCCGCGCAGCGCTCCGGGATCGCTCACAGCACTGAGATGGGATGGAGGCACAGGGCAGCACCTCAGGGCCGTTCTGTCTGCCTGCTCACATCGCCGGGCTGCTCCCTGTGAGCTTCAGCCACTGCCTGAACTCAATAAACTCCCAGAAAAGCCTTCAGAAAAAAGTGATCGGAGTGAGATGAGGAGAGCTCAGCCTGCAAGCTCAATCTAAAGGCAGATTGCTGTGAGAAATTCATCTTCTCTCGGCAAACTTTCTGCTTGCTGCACTCTGGAAGAGAGCTGCAGTCCTTCACACGGTTTTCTCGTGCTCCGTGCTGAACTCATTCAAACAAACGTCAGCAATGCCGGGTTCCCGACTCGTTCAGCCGTTACATTTCAGTGTCCTATTCAGGTGAAGCAGAAAGCAGAGCGTTCCTTTGCCTTACAGCCCTTCATCGGCAACGCGCTGCCAAGAGCCCGCATCGCATCGCATCGCCGCTCTCCTCGTTCTCAGCCCGGCTTTTCCATCGCGGACAGGAGAGAAAAGTTACGAGGAAGGCTGCGGATCGATGAGGAATCGCGTTCCGAGCGGCACACGGCAGGCCGGGGAGGGGGAGGTGCGCGAAAGGTGGCAGAGCACAGACAGGACACAACTTTATTCGGAACCGCGTTCGCTTCGCCTACGAACCCAACGGCCCCCAGCGCGGAGCGGCGGCACCGCCGGGAGGAGAAGCGCGCGGTGGGAGCGGGCGGGGATCGCGGCGCGTTTCGCACCGCACCGCACGGCGCTGGCAGCGGCCCCGCACGCACCTCCATCTTAGGATCTTCGGTCCCGCGGCGGCTGCGGCCCATCTGCCCCCCCCCCCCAGCCCCTCCCCCACGCGGCGTTCTGCTCGCTCTCCCCCCACCCCAACTTGCTCCCTCTCCCCCCCCATCTCCCCCCCACCCCCCAGGCACTCTGCGCTGCCGCCCCTCCCCCCGCTGCCCTCCCTTCCCCTCCCCCCCTCCGCCGCCGTCGCCCATCGCGGGGCGGCCGTTCCCGCGGGCAGCTCCCGGGATGCGGCCGGGCATTGCGGGCACCCCTCCAACCAACCCCCTCCCCAACCCCCCGCACCACGCGCGGTTCTGCCTTTAATTTTTCTTTTTTTTTTTTTTTTTTTTTTTTTTTT